AGCTTTGTATGGTAAGAGATAGTAACTATGCTTATGGTAAGCGTTTTGTAAAGTACGTGTTAAATCACTACGTTGTACACCCGAAACTAATGTAATACGGTATGCCAAGTAGACTTCAATAAAAAAAAAGAAATCATTCATACTAAGTTTTATGCAAAGAAAATGTATTTTCTTTTTTTTTTTTTTTTTAATTTTTTTTTTATTTATTTATGATAGTCACAGAGAGAGAGAGAGGCAGAGACACAGGCAGAGGGAGAAGCAGGCTCCATGCACCGGGAGCCCGACGTGGGACTCGATCCCGGATCTCCAGGATCGCACCCTGGGCCAAAGGCAGGCGCCAAACCACTGCGCCACCCAGGGATCCCGAAAATGTATTTTCTTTTAGCACTGGGGCTTACCCATCAGTCATAACAAAACTGGCACTGCTTAAAATCACCAAATGTATCCAAGTATATTCAAAATGAGTAACAGTTTGGAAATAAAAGTTACAAAAACATGTTACCACAGTATATGATTCACATATATAATTTTATCCTCTAAAACAATACTGTTAGGTTACACGTTACTATTCCCATTCTACAGCTAGAGAGTAGAACATCAGAGAGTGAACTGAAATGTCCTGAAGTCATAAGACTAGTTTGCAACCAGAACTATAACTAAATAATTCGAGGCAATATTTACTAAAATACATCAGGCTCTGTGCAATACAGAGATGAATCTGCATTTCATTTCTACTTAGGCTAGAAGAACAAGGACAACACTTTACAATCCAAACTGCATTCAGCAATGGAACCTTAAATCATTTAACCTGTGACTCAAATCCTCCTTTGTAAAATGGGGAATAATTTCAAAGATCATTTTAAGGATTCAGTGAGTCCAAATAAATATTTAAACAAGTCTCTTATGAAAGTAAATAATATGTAAATATGTAAAATAATACACAAATATGACTTTTTGTCTAAAAAAAAAAATACTGGAGAAGGGTGCCAAGACCATTCACTGGGGAAAAGACAGTTTTTTCAACAAATGGTTCTGGGAAACCTGGATATCAGAAACCTGGATATCAACATATAAAAGAATGAAGGTAGATGTTTGGTTGTTTTTTAAAAAAAAATTATTTATTTTTTCATGAGAGAGACAGAGAGAGAAAAGCAGAGACACAGGCAGAGGGAGAAGCAGGCTCCCTGCAAGGAGCCCAATGTGGGGCTGGATCCCAGATCCTGGATCACACCCTGAGCTGAAGGCAGAGTCGCTTAACCACTGAGACACCCAGGCATCCCGGATCTTTATAGCATATACAAAAATTAACTCAAAATGGGTAAAAGATCTAAACTTGAGAGCTAAAATTACAAAATCCTTTGATGAAAACATAGGGGTTAAATCTTCATGACACTGGACTTGGCAATGATTTCTGGAATATGACACTAAAAGCACAAGCAACAAAAGATAAATTGGACTTCACCAAAATTTAAAGACTTGTGCATCAAAGGACACTACCAAGGAAGTGAAAGGTAACCAGTAGGAGAAAATATTTATAAATCATATGTAAGAACTAACAACCAAAATATGTAAAGAGCTCCTACAATTCAGTAACAAAAAAACCAAAGTTTTTTTCATTTCATTCAAAATGAGCAAAGGACTTGAAAAGACATTTCTCCAAGGAAGATAAATGATCAATAAACACTAGGAAATATGCTCAACTTCATTAGTCACTAAGGAAATGCAAACCAAAACCACCAGACCACTTCACACACATTTAGGATGGCTATTAAAATATAAAAAACGTTCGCAGGTATGTAGAAAATTGGAACTCTCCTGCACTGCTGGCGGGAATGCAGAAACGGTGCAACCACATTCTACTCCAGGTAGAAAAAGAAAAAGAACTGAAAGCAGGGACTCAAAGAAATCCTTGCACACCAATGTTGAAAGCAGTATTACTCACAATAGACAAAAGATGCAAACAACCGAAATGTCTATCAAAAGATGAATAAGCAATATATGATATAAAAATACAATGATTAATATTTAGCTTCAAAAAGGAAGTTCTGACACATGCTGCAACATGTGTCAGAACCTTGAAAACATGTTACATGAAGTAAGCCAGAAATCAAAGGACAAATATTATATAATTCCACTTACATGAGGTATACAAGAATAGGCAAATTCATAAATACAAAAAGAAGTTACTAGGGGTGGGAGGTTGGGGGTAATGGGTACAGTCATCATTTAATGCTTTTATCCGAGACAATGAAAAAAATGCTAGGAAACAATGATGATGTTGGTACAACATTGTGAATGTTAATGCCATTGATTTGTACATTAAAAATGGCTAAATGGTAAATGTCATGTTACATATATTTTACAATTAAAAAACTTGAGTGCTCACTTTGGCAGCATATATATTAAAATTGGAACGATATGGAGATTAGCATGGCCCCTGCACAAAGATGACATGCAAATTCATGAAGCATTCCATATCAAGAAAAAGAAAGAAGAAAGAAAGAAAGAAAGAAAGAAAGAAAGAAAGAAAGAAAGAAAGAAAGAAAGAAAGAAAGAAAGAAAGAAAGAAAGAAAGAAAGAAAAAGAAGGAAAGAAAGTACTGGATACCCTTGAAGATTCTTCGACAGAAGAGCGACAATCTGCATAATATTTTATGAAATTACTAGGTTACATACAACGTGAAAGTGGAGAAGAAGGAATAAGGCTTAAAGTAGGGTAGGAAAAGAAATAAATAGGTGCTAGAGAAAACTATGTTCTTGGTCTAAAATGGCACATTAACTTTGATCTAAGAGGTTTTCTACACGATCTACTGGATAGAGTTGTTGGAGGGTCTAATACTGGATGCACAGTTACCCCAGTTGGGTCACACTGACACACAGTTTGTGTAAGAATACTAATGGCCAAAATATTATAGAACTTTAAGGCAAAAACAATCTTACTAGATTAATAAATATCACCTATAAATAGAGAAGTTCTCTAAATCCAAGCATTTTCTTTGCGCTCAGTTTTTTTAACAAAGTAAATTTTCATTGCATCAAAATACCTTTTTAAAAGCATATCACACAGTCCTTTGCCAATCAATGTCTGCAGTTGTTTATGGTTAAATGTTGCCTCATTGTTAATGGAAGTGTTTCCTTAATAGCAAGTTTCCCAACTTTCCTCACTTCGATTAATAAATTATCACTGTCATTTTTTCCGCTACGGTAAAGGAAAAAGAGAGGATTAATTATTGGGGGATGAAAATTATTCACTCCTGTGGATGAGAATTAGAAAAGTAAACTAAAAAGGAGATTCATCATTAAAAGTCATCTCTTCCCTGTTCCAACTTGGTCCTAGGCACTTCACAATCGTACAGGGGTCCCTCCATACTCAACAACACAGACACTACAAAAATCACTTATCGCTGGGAAGACACATTCATACAATTCGGACACTCCTTTTATCCACGTCTTTATAATGAAATCTTTATCTTCCTCAATTCGGTAAATGCGAAAGTCCACATGTCAAACTGGGACTCCATGCCGCCCTATGAAATCCAGTATAATGTCCCTTTTCAATTCTGTAGGAGAGAGACTGGCACAGGAATAAGTCCTTAATTGTCTTCCTATCTGCACCCCTCCCCCAGCGCAAAAACTACCTAATCCTAACGCCACGGCTTATACACGCAACACTTACATTCAGCAGCCACGAATCACTTTTTACGCTGATTCAAAAATCCTTGGGCAGCCCTGGTGGCTCAGTGGTTGAGCATCTGCCTTCGGACCAGGGCGTAACCCCGGAGTTCCCGGATCGAGTCCCGCATCGGGCTCCTTGCGTGGAGCCTGCTTCTCCCTCTGCCTGTGTCTCTGCCTGTGTGTGTGTGTGTGTGTGTGTGTGTGTGTGTGTGTGTCTCATGAATGAATAAATAAAATCTTTAAAAAAAAATCCTGCCTTAGGTGTCAAGTTACCTGGACAATGAGATATGTCACCTGAGCAGTGATAAATGTCGTGGATTTCTCCAGCTTGGTGTAAGCGTGAGTAACCCTCGGGTTTATCCTCACGATAAACGGAGTTTGACCGTCCTGAGTTAGGAGGTAGTGGCCTGCACAGGCGGAGGTCGGTAAACACGCCCTCTGAAACCCTGGCTCTGCAGGCAGGCCTGCTGCCGACACGTCACGCTCACACAGGTGCGCGGCGCACTCAGAACGTTAACTCCAGCTGTCTGCGACCTATAATAAACTACGCTGGGAGTCACCAAAGCCGGTTGGGCTACTTTCGAGATTTCTGTCCTCTTTAAACCATCGGGTCAAAAATGGGAGTCCACACACCATCAAGCTCAAATCCGGGTGTCTGGAGACCTGCATACACGGTGCATCCACTCACTCACTCCTGCAACTTCGGTGACCCGATGCAGCCGCGCACACAGGGGAGCCGAAGTCACGGAGGTACCGGCCAAGCCAGTCGCCAAACCATTAAGAAAAGTAAAGAGCACGCGGGCCCAACGTGGGTTTAAAATGCATCCGGGAAGCCTCACGACTAAGCGCTACGCAGTGTAAGTTGGATATAGCCCCAGCTAAATTTTTTTTTTTTTTTTTAAGAATTGCAGGTAGGGAAGAAAGCCAAGGTGTTGGGCGAATCAAGGTTTTAGGATTGCTAAGATGCAAGTGACAGCTGGCTCCCAGGAGCGGAGTGGACGGGCGAAAGCGGGGGCGGCCCGGGAGGGCCGGGGTGGGGGCGGGCTCCACGGCCCGAGCCCGTCCGCGGGTGCACGAGGGCCGCCGGGGCCTCCCGGGCCGGGGAGCCGGAGGACCAGGCCCCGCACCGTCCGGGCGTCCCCGGTGCACCCCGCGGGCTCCGGCGCGGGAGCCGAGGCCTCCCCGGGCGGCGGCCTGGGGCTGGGGCTGGGGCTGGGGCTGAGGCTGAGGCTGGGGCTGGGGCCGCGGCCGCTAGGGAGCGGGGCCCGGGGAAGGTGGGGCAGCAGGCGGCGACACGCAGAGCCCGCAGCTCGCGCCCGGCCTCACCCGCGCATGGTGAACTTGACCACGGCGAGTCTGGAGCCCGCGCCGCTCAGCTCCGGCTGGAAGTCCGGGTCGCTCCCGACCGGCTTCACGCCCACCATTCTCGGCCCGGCAGGGCGGCCGCGACGCCACCGGCTTCCGAAGTGAAGGCGAAGGCCCGGGAGGGGGCGGGGGCGAGGGCGACGCTCCGGAAGGCCGAGGCCCGGGCGCAGGCGGCGGCGACCGCGGCGGCTCTCCGGGGCTCTCAGTGCCGAGTCACGCCCGGGAGCGGGGCGGCCGAGGGGGCGGGCGCGGGCGCGGAAGGCGGGGGAAGGGGAGGCCTGCGGCGCCCGGCAGCCACCGCGCGGCGGGGCCCTCGGCGCCTGCGCGCCGCGACGTCACTTCCGCGTCGTTTGGTTTGCTTCCCGCCGCCCAATCCTATGACGCGCCGCTGGCCCCGCCCCCGGAGGAGGAGCCCCGCGCCGGCTGGAGCGGCGCAGGCGCAGAAGAGCGGCAGTGGGGGGGAGGGGAAGGGGGAGGGGAAGGGGGAGGGGGCAGGGAGGGGAAGTGGGAGGGGGCAGGGAGGGGGGGCCCGTGGGGTTCTCGGCGCGGCGGGGACTGTGGGCTTCCAGCGGGTCCGCTCGGAGGGGGAGTAAAAAGGGAACCCGTCCCCCCCCCCCCGCGCTCCACGTTCGGGGCGAAGATCTGAACCCCCGAAGTGCTGGAAGATGTACTTTGGTCTCCTGTTGGGGCTGCAAGTCGCCCCACTAGACAAAAAGGGACTTTAGGCACATTGATTTAGGGATCCCGTGGCTCACGGGCCTTGTGCTGCCATCCACAAGCTGCCACGCACCTGCCTTTAAGTTGTGCCTTAAAGAAACGAAAGCATCGTCCTTCCTTTAGAGTGACCCCGTCTCCCTTGAGAAAACGAGTGGGAAATAGCAGAGGGACACGGAGCTGGAGAGGATCCTAACTGGGAAAGGAGCAGGGGGCGGGGGAGGGCGAGAGCACTGGGTGTCCTACTGTGTGTTGGCAAATGGAACTCCAATAAAAAAATGCAAAGAAATAATAATTAAATAAAATAGAATAATAATATAAAATAATAAAATATAAAATAAAATAAAATAAAATAAAATAAAGAGTTAAACAATAGACCTGCCCTACGACCCAGCAATTGCACTGCTGGGGATTTAGCCCAAAGATACAGATGCAGGGAAACAGCAGGACACCTGCACCCCGATGTTTCTAGCAGCCATGTCCACAATAGCCAAACCGTGGAAGGAGCTTCAGTGTCCATCGACAGATGACGGATAGAGAAGATGTAGTCTATGTACACAATGGAATATTCCTCAGCCATTGGAAATGACAAATACCCACCATTTGCTTCAACGTGGCTGGAACTGGAGGGTATTATGCTGAGTGAAGTAAGTCTGAGAAGGACGATCATCATATGGCCTCATTCATTTGGAGAATATAAAAAATAGTGAAAGGGAATAAAGGGGAAAGGAGAGAAAAATGAGTGGGAAATATCAGAGAGACAGAACATGAGAGACTCGTAACTCTGGGAAATGAACAAGGGGCAGTGGAAGGGGAGGTGGGGGGGTGACTGGGTGATGGGCACTGAGGGGGGCCCTTAACGGGATGAGCACTGGGTGTTATGCTGTATGTTGGCAAATTGAACTCCAATAAAAAAAATAAAAAATAAAAATGGAAAAAAAATAGAATGATCACATCTTCCTCTAGATAATCACAGTCTCTTGATAGGGGCCCACAATAGTTACCCTAACAAGTTTGCAAAGGAAACGGTGGGGATGAATGACACAGGGGACAAATGGAGCAGGTAAACTTGCTAGAAATTGGGGGGCTTGAGCTGAATTTTGATAGAAGAAGGTAGCCAAAAAAAAAAAAAAAAAGAAGGTAGCCAGATGGTGAGAGGTGACAAAGGTATTACAGGAAGAAGAACCAACAGTACCAATTCGTGGTTTGGGAGAGCTGATGATAAATAATGATAATAAATAGCTAACAATGTGTGCACTAGACAAGATATGGCTCTTTGTGTATATTAGCTCGTGTAATTCTCACAACCACCCTGGGAAGTAGGTTCTATTATTATTTCACCCACAGACTGGTTCTCCCTAGTTCACACTCCTAGTAGGATGTCAAATCAGCAATCAAGTTGAGGTAATCTAACATCAGCGTGTTCTTTTAAATGTCAGGCTAGGTGACTGAATGATTTGCTTTTGGATTTAGCTGAGGTGATGAAACTGAGGAGGAAGGTGCAGGTATGATCAGGACTCGCTAAGGAATTTGTATTTTAACATGAATGCAATGGAGTAATCATTGCAGGGCAATTTTTTTTTAATTACAAAAAAAAAAGTGCCTTTAGCAAAAGCCCTCAGGTGGCAGTAAGGAGGATAGAAGGTGATGAGACAAATTGAGGTTACTGAAGTAATCCAGGAAGTGAGTTATGGGAGTAGCTGAAGTGGTAATGAAGAGGACAAGATATATTTGAGAAACCATTAGATAGAAATCACAAGATTTAGTGACCAATTTACTGCAATGACGGAAGAAGGAGGGAATGGTGCAAATATCTCAGTCTTGTGGCTCTTTGTTAAGATGCCAGTAGGATACCTAGGTAATGAGTATAGCAGGTAGTAGGAAGGTTGAGTCTGGAACTAAGAAAAAGGAGTAAGCTAAAGTTGCAGATTTGAGATTTATTAGTTTTAAGGGTGAAAACTGAAGCCCAAGAACACAATTACACAATTTGGAGGCCATGACAATTGTCCCTGTTCTACTGATGACAAGGTTGACTTTTAGACAAGCGTGTAACTCATTCAGTTATACAGTAGTACAGCTGCTTATACCTCATCATTGCACCCAACATTATATTGAAACAGACTTTATGTATGTGCATAGAACTTTCTCGCAGATGTTATTGCAAGGTGATGCTCTACAGAGTGTTTTTCTATATATATTACAAATCTCTTCAAAAATTATAAATAGTATATATATATAGATGTTCTATATTCTATATTTATTTAATATATATTGAATATTCTATATATAGCTATATTTTATATGTATATAGAATGTGTTCTATATCATATATATATATATATATATATATATATATATGAAGAAGAAAGAAAAAAGGTGCAGCTGGGGGAAAAAGTACTGCACAACAATTCTACAAAGAAGGCCCAAGTTTCTTCCTTACCCTATTAGTAGTAACTAGAACAAATATAATATTCACAGTTAATTGGTCTCCTGTGAACTTTATATCATTAAGTAAAGTAAGCTTTTGGTGGGTGCAATTTTCCCCCAAAATGTTATTATTTTTCTTATTTTGTATATACCACCCTAAAAACCCCATTTACTAGAATTTTCCATGAAAATTTTAGAAAAAACTTACCATTAAGCTTCTGCAAAGATGACTTGTGGTTATTCTTAAGAGGATGATACACCTTCCCCATTCCTGAGATGAACATATTCAGAAATGCAAAATACACTGCACATAAACCCCAGCTCCACCCTGTCCCTCACATTTTACTGTAACTGTTATATTCTGAAATCCACAGGTCTCAAGCTGTAGTGAGCTAATTAAAATGTGAGTTTCCAGTTTCACACCCAGAAATTCTAATTCAGTAGTGCTGGTACATGGCTCAAGAATCTGAACTTTAGGGCAGCTCCGGTAGCTCAGCGTCTTAGTGCCCAGGGTATGATACTGGAGATCCCGGATCGAGTCCCACGTCGGGCTCCCTGCATGGAGCCTGCTTCTCCCTCTGCCTGTGTCTTTGCCTCTCTCTCTCTGTGTCTCTCATGAATAAATAAATAAAATTTTTAAAAAATGAGTCTGAACTTTAATAAGCATCCAGGGTTAGCTGATGCAAGGAGTCCATATTTTGAGACATTATTTCATGCTACTTGTCTACTCTCATGTAGCATTTACTATGCATTTAATATGCACAAGGTGCTATGATAATGCTTTGAAACACCTTTCTTCCAGGGACATCAAAAGGGAGATAAGATACTTCTACAAAAGCTAATAATACAAGGTAAAATGTGGTAAGTGCCATAATAGAGCTGTAGATAACATACCCTAGTGGTTGAGAAAAAGAAGAGAATGTTTCCAGCTAGAATGAGCAGAGAATGCTTTATGAAGGAATATGTTCTAAAATTCAGGCCTAGATAAAAATAAGAAATGACTCCTGACTTTCCTCTTAACTCACCAAGAATATAGTTCGCTTTAGATTCACCCATTTTTATCAAGCTCAGCCAGTCACTGGAGGAATGCTTTCTATCATGACTTGTAGCTGCCATGGGTTCACTTTGCTGACTTTACAAACAGATATGTTAGAGACACATCATCCATGGCTTTATCTCTCTCATAGCCCTTTGCATATGGTAGATACAAAATAAGTATAGGTTGAATAAATGAATGGCTGGGAGGCATAATGAGTATGACTCTCAGTTCACAAAATGTAGGGGTACAAGAATTGTTGTATAACTCAATTTCATTTTGACTCTGAACCCTCACCCTCCTCCTGTATCCAACTAGAACAAAAACAACCTTGTCTCCTCCTCTGCCTGCTTCAGAAATTATACCAAATTTCTGAGTTTAGAGTAGAAGTGGGGCATTGGAGTGTAGATGTCTAGGAACACTGTCTCTTCCTACACACCATCTTGAAATCTAGCCCTTTCTGCTTCATGTGACTCAGGAATTGGGACCCCTTGATTGGAGCTGCCTGTGGACCCTTTTGCCTAGACGCACCAGGCTGCCATTTCTCCCCAAGTGTTTGCTTCTTCCCTTCTCCCTCCGTAAAGATTTTCCCTCATTTTCATTAAGAGTTGTATAGTTTCAGCCTTTAAGTTTATTTGATCCACATCCACCTTTTTTGAGTCAATATGATTCTAATCATTTAAAAATATTCCCATGATAGAAAAGAAAGGCACAATTTTCCAATTTCATATATATTTGAGTGTTTGGGGAGGCAGTGTCCAGTATCCATAAAATTTCTGCTGTAAGTTTTTCTTTAAATGTACTCCTCTTGTAAAAAGTGGAGCAAATGCCACTTGGAGTTTTTGAAGAGCAATAGCAAGAATATAATGAAGAAAAAACATTTATTCTGCAACAAAAGTCCTCATAAATTCCTCTGAGATATAAAATACCTCTTTAAATAACTGGATTTGTGTTTGCAGAAGCCCAAGGATATGGATTTATTGATGAATTCCATAAACCGTATGAAATCCCCCCACTAACTTATCAAAATTACAACCACCCCAAAATTCTACATAAAAATAACTTCTGCTTGGGGCATCTGGGTGGTCTGGTCAGTAAAGTGTCCAAGTCTTGATTTC